TAATGTAACGTATTCGTCACAAAAACTATGCTTAAATTTAGCGCGGTTTGGCAACTGTTTTTAATTGAATACGTTACGATTTTTAAATAACGTCCAAGTCACGACTGACTGAAAACGTCTCGTTTACGTCAAGATTTCGTTACGTTGTGCTACCTGGGATTTACTGAGAAATATTTCTCTTGTTAATTTTAAATATTGGAAAATCTTTTTTCTACTACCACGTTTCCTAATGACATCGATGCTTAGAAAATGAATCTTTTCATTGACAGGTCTGTTTGAAAAGAAATTGACTGCATCCTTGTGTTTGTATAGTAAATTCTAATTTTTAGTGCCTTCGTTTAAATTGAGAAGGTAAGTTTTTTAATTTTAAGTAACTTATACCTTAAAAATTAAAAGAATAAGATTAAAGTAATTTAAACAGCTGTCAAATACGTTTTTAGGATATTTTGTTTTGTATTTGAATATAATAAAAAATAAAAGGGTTGTAAAAAAACATTGTGTTTCACTTGTGAGAAAAGCTTTCTTCAAGCTCTTGTTAATGCACACTTGGCCTGACGGCCTCGTGAGCAAATTAAACACTCGCATGAAAAAGTCGCTTTTTTTTGACACTTTTTTATTTGATTTCGGATTTAAACAAATATTAAAGAATATTGTAGATACATTAATGGAGAATCGCTCACATTTTAAAAATTACTAAAAAATACACGTACGTTTATAATATACAGGTTTGAACAAAAATTAACACATTAATTTACAAAAAACAATTTGATACCTTTTGAAATCTGTATATGACATGTCCAAGTATGGGATAATTCAACAAAACTGTCATTGTCATCCTCCATAGGCTATGGATGGACCATAGTAACCTTAGTTCTTCATACAGAAAAAATATTGGAAATTGCAATGTTATTTTAAAAAATCCATATTTTCCACAAAAATAAATATATCAAGGTGAACCAAAAACAAAACTGTTAACCTTTAACGGCTACGGTCCAAAAAAATCCTTTAACCGCTACAGCGTGGTCTCACAGACTCCCCATTAGAATTCGTATTAAAATTTAAATTAACTTCAAATAATACTTAGAATTTGGTTTAAATAAAACAAAAAACTTTAGAAAACCTGTTTCAAACAAAAAACTTGGCTTTTTTTCCAAAATCATCAAGAATACAAAATAATAAAATATTTTTTATTCATTTTTGTTTTCATTACATTTTAAACAAATTTTTCGGGAACATTGTAAACAAATTGGTTTTTTACAAATAAAACATAAATACTGAGTCTTTCTTTTCAGTTTTGGACAAATATGGCATAACCGTCGAGTTTCCAGACGCTCTTCTTCAGCTGCTATTTCGATATTTGCAGTTGTCTTGTTTAGAATTCGTTTCAAAGTAAGTTTTAGTTCTCTGAGTATATTTTTATTTTGCAATCGTCTTTCCATGAGTGTCGTGTTCACTTTCCAAGTAATCAGCGTCTTCTAAGCCGTCTTCGCTATCCAAATCAAGTTCATCAAAATGTGATGGCTCAACCAAAAGATTTTGTGCCCATTCTTGAAATTGGGTCATCTGGATGCATTCTTGAAGGTCCCGGAACACCAGCCATGATAAAATATAAATAATTTTATAGAAAAGTCGAATAATAAAAATATAATCAGAAATAAAAACACTTACGTAATCGCTACGCTGTAGTCTAGCAGACCACTGTCTATCTTTGGGGTAGTGATGCCGCCGATACGAGAGATTCTCGCCTCTCGTCTCGTCTCGTCTCGTCTCGACGAGACGAGAGGGCGATTTTCTCTCGAAAAAAGGCTCGAGACGAGACGAGAGAATGCCCTCTCTCGTTCGAGAATTTCTCGTTTCTCTCGATCTCTCTCGTTCTCTCGAATATAAAAAACAATTTTTTTTTACATAAAAATTATAATTTTACACATAAATGACGATATTTATTTGGACCAATGAGAACATTATTCGCATTTCATAATAAACAAAATTTGTTCCTGGTTAACGTTGTATTATTTTATAACACAACTTAATGTTAACCAATAAAAAATTACTTATAAAATAATAATAATTTTTAAAATTTACCCTGTATATGCACATCTATGGCACTCCTTATACTATTAAAAAACCCGTATGCTTAATAAGCATTGCTTATTCAATAAACTTATCAACAACATGTGGGTTTTGAGGGCCTGATTACAAATTTGATATCCATTTTTTTTAAATAAAATGGCTGATCCAATATAACGAAAATTCGTCGTTTGGCTTTAATGATTTGGGTAAAATTTAGTATTCAGATATTTATGGGGTCCCTGATTCAGAATTTTATATCCATTAAAAAAAACAAAATTGCGGATTCAAAATTACGGACATGCGCAGTAGGTACAAGATGGTTGGATCTATGTGGAGTAGTTACATCATATATGCGCAGTAGTTTTCAGATGGATGGATCAAATGATTTGATCCATTGAAAACTACTGCGCCGATACAGGGTGTTTCTTTTAACTTGAGACAGCTCAATATCTCGAGAAATACGCATTTCACGGAAAAATGTTTTAAATAAAAGGTTAATGTGACCAAAGGGGACATTATTTGGTGCTACCGCTAGCCACCCCCTACCCCTCCTTAAGGGTGAAACGGGGGGTAACTTTGGAGAGTCAAATGGGATAACCCTTTTTTTACAGATTTTGGTAGTACATAAAAAAATTAATAACTTTTTTCAATTTATCAACAGATGGCGCTGTAATTCAAAATTTAAGAAAAATGGGTTTCCCTGTAAAATGTATTATTTGAAACGTTTGAAAAACAAAAATTAATATTAAATCAACAATAGTCGGCTCTGAAAACAATTTATAACAAATGTTCGAAATGTCGTCCTTCCATTTCGCCACCAAGTGGAGCACCAGCGTCCCTGGTCGGTAAATGTTTGGTGCGGTACCTTTGGCGAACGGCATTAAATGGTGAAAATTACCGGAATTTTCTAGAAAACGATCTGCCAGACTTCTTCCTGTGGGGTTACTTGAAAGAAAAAGTTTACGCTGCAATTCCTACAACTCGGGAGGACATGGTGGAGCCAGAATTCATTACCCGCATTCAAAAATGTGTCGAAATGAAAGGATGACATTTTGAACATTAATTATAAATTGTTTTCAGAGCCGACTATTGTTGATTTAAGGTTAATTTTTGTTTTTCAAACGTTTCAAATAATACATTTTACAAGGAAACCCAATTTTCTTAAATTTTGAATTACAGCGCCATCTGTTGATAAATTGAAAAAAGTTTCAAATAAAAGTTATTCTTTTTTTATGTACTACCAAAATCTGTAAAAAAAATCATTCCATTTGACTTTCTAAAGTTTCCCCCCGTTTCACCCTTAAGGAGGGGTAGGGGGTGGCTAGCGGTAGCACCAAATAATGTCCCCTTTGGTCACACTAACCTTTTATTAAAGACATTTTTCTGTGAAATGCGTATTTTACGAGATATTGAGCTGTCTCAACTTGAGACTCTCAAGTTAAAAGAAACACCTATTATACTGCCCTACTATGGAGAAAGGCAGTAACTGCAAAAAAAAAAATTAAAATGCGATTTCTTGTGCTATGGTAAAGCTATGGACAAAATGTAACCGAATTCAACACAGAAATGCATTCAAATATCTCATAAGTTAAAAAAATTAATTAAATACCTACTGCTTTTTATAAAAATGTAGTTTATGCTAATTTTCCACAAATTTCTTGTTTAGCAGTTACTGCCTTTCTCCATAGTAGGGCAGTATAGGTGTATAATACTCTAAGACAAAGAAAGTCTTAGATAATACTAGATATAACTACTCCACATAGATCCAACCATTTGATTCAAATGCGCAACATTTTCGGCGTAAATAGTCTTACTTTATTAGTGTGGTACACATTTTTTTTTATTTCCAGTTTAAATTTCTATATAAAAAAATATAAACGAATTCGTATTTTATTCCAAATAATTTTTGTATTTATACTTAGGTACTTTTACCACGAGAGAAACGAGACGAGACGAGAGAAAGGCACTCTCGAGCGAGAAAAGAGTATTCTCGACGAGACGAGAGACCCATTTTCTCTCGCTGCACGAGACGAGACGAGAGAAGAACTTTTCTCGTCTCGTCTCGTCTCGCGGCATCACTACTTTGGGGTATAATAATAAATCACAGCACGCGCCACTGACGTTCTCACTTTACTGATGTGTGTAAAGGTCGTCGACTGAAAGGTACATGGACCCCCATCCCTCAATATACAAGCGTTTTCAAAATAATAGTAAAAGATTTTCGCGAGGTGTCTGGCAGACCACCGTGTAGCCGTTAAAGGTTAAAAATAGATGTGACTTGATAATTAAAACTTAATTTAGAACAATATACGGTTTTGCCACTCTACAGAGTGTCTTAAACTTATGGTAAAAAACATATTTTTGTTTAAACCTGTAAATTATAAACGTACGTCTATTTTTTAGTAATTTTTTAAAATTTGAGCGATTGTCCATTAATTTATCTACAATATTCTTTAATATTCGTTTAAATCTGACATCAAATAAAAAGTTATTTTCGATTGAAATTCATCGAAAAGTTGTGTGGATCGATTATTTTGCATGTGAGTGTACATATTAATAAAAAAAATAGCATTACAATTGGGCACTAAGGGTTAAAATAAAAAAGTTATTAACTTTTCAAATTAACCTAATTTTCCCTGCGTTTTCTCAGGTAATTTTGGGAAAAATGTTAAAGAATTGACAAGGAATCTTTTAAACAATGTTTTTTACAAACATTTATATTTACAACCCAATAACAAAAAATTTATAGGCTATTTTTGATTGACGCGCATTTCTCAGATTTTAACGAACAAAAATTAATAACTCGAAAAATATTATAATAAATGAGGTGATTTATTTAAAATAACAAAGTTGATGTCAACTTCGGTTAAACCGAAACGTTTTGTTTAAAATATTTTAGAAAAATAAACCCAAATGCATTATAAACGATTTTAAACCGGAAGTGGATTTTTTTGGTCCTTGGAAACTTCCAATGGATCATGAATGTGATGTGATGTGTATAGTGACAAAGTTCTGTACGGGAAACAGGGTTCAAAGCATTTTTCTAAAAACAGATTTTTACACTGAAGTGCAAGTGTTCAGTTTTTGTCAGCCGTACACGCACATCGCTACCTTCATCACAGACCGTTTGTCGATGAGAGCCTTACCCCGCTTGCCCGGCCTCTTAGGTCACCTCGAGTCCGACGGGTCCCCCCCTGGGTCGCTCTCCTCCCCCAGAGAATTATTCGCCGGCTGAACGTTGTAGCTGGGCGACCGGAACTGCCTGCCCACCATCTGAGACCCGTCCGACCCCCTCCGCGAGTGCTCGCCCTTGCAGAAGCACTTGCAAATGATCCGCTTGAACGCGAACCTGAAGTCTTTACTGAACAGCGCGTATATCAGCGGGTTGATGGCGCTGTTACAGTACCCCAGCCAAAACAGTATGGAAAACACCAAAGGGTGTATGCAGTGCGCGCAGAAAGCGCGCACTAGGTACATGGTGAAGAACGGCAGCCAGCAGAATATGAAGCCGCCCACTATGATGCCCAGCGTTTTAGCGGCTTTGGTCTCCATGCGGAAACGCTTCACCTGGGCTTTAATGTTGCGCTTGCCCATGCGGCGGTTGAGTATTTTTGGAGGATTTCCGTCCTCGCAGGAGCTGGGGCTAGGGCTTATCGCTCTATCTCCTGCTGCAACAAAAGAGAAGTTGATGCAGCAAAACAAAAATGCCATACAAAATCTTTACTCTCTTAGTCAATTAGTCATTTTTGACTAATTCATTTTAAGAGAGTAGATTGACATAAATATTCATAGTCTAATAAATATTTTTTACTCGAGGAAAAGCATTTTGATTGATTTGATCAAATCTTTGACACTTTAGAGTTTTTAATGCAAAGCAAAGCTATTTAGGTACTTTAATTTGTAGTATAACTGTTCTGCAAGTACCCTCCTACTAAACAATCTCTGGGTTATTACGATCCTAATTGATTAAAAATGTATTCAAAAAATAAACTAAAATTTAAATCTAGCTGGAAGCTGGGAACTAGGCATTTTAAGGCTGATAAGGAAAAAAACCGGCAATCTAAAGAGCTGTTGTAAAAAAGTTGGTGAATGGAAAAGTGAGTTAAATTTGCAGGTGTGTACATTCTAATAACAAAATTATTGTATTATAAATAATCCCGATCATTTTAGTATAATTAGTTTACACAAATGCCTTGAGTAAAATAAATATTAGATCAATTGACTTGGCGTCATTCATCTATCTATTCCGCCATGATAATTGCTGTTTAATACACGACGTTTATAATCGAAATTATGTGAATTTACGTTTGAACAATCTCGCATTACGTTATATTCTAAATAATAAACATTATATACTTGATTTTATCGAATTAAAATGTCAGGGTTGTACTTGATTTTATCTAACTAAATTTCAGGACTGTACTTGATTTTTTTTAAATTTTATTAAATCATCATTAAAGGGGATTTTCCATAACCGCTGTGTAAATTTAAATGTACTTAATATCGATTTTCTTGAATATGGGATCTATTTGTTTTTGTATTGAACTTCCTCAGTCATATTTAATTATTTGTTATTACATTTCGAGTGAGTAGCAACAGTGATAGCGATATTTAATTTATGACCACTGGCCGTGGTCTCCTGACAAAAGACTTACTTTCCTGTATATTTTTTTTGTTATTTGCTCGGTGCAAGTACCGGGTATCTCCATATTCGAAAAATGTTTAGGAGACAAGAAAAACCTTGTTAAAAATTATTTTATACAATGTCATTAATTTTTATTTTTTTTATGGGTACTATAGACCATTTGACATTAAATTACCAGACTTGCGGTTTATTATAAATTAAGTTACTATTAGTAATCGTAATAGTAACTATGGAGATACCTCGTCCTTGCCCAGTAATTACAAAAAAATAAGTAGGTACACGTCTTTACAATAAAAAACTTATTATCCAAAAATTAAGTAAGGGGCCGTCCATAAATGATGTCACACACTTGGGGGGAGGGGATTGTCGTAAATGTGATAGCCGGGGGGAGTTTTAGCAAGTTGTGACGTCACAAAAAGTAAATTAAAAAATTATTCTTTCTTTTTGTATTTTTATTCAAAGTAGGTATTTAATAAAGGATAGACCTAACTTAAATATAAAATCAGCATAGTCAAAAAAATATTACATTTTGGTATTATTCAAATTCGCTACATTTTATCCGGAGTTAGCTGATTATTGCACAGTATAATTTCTGCGGTATCTCCTGTATCTGATATATTTAGTTAACCCTAACATGGATCTACAGGGTTTGTGCACCGAACGATTCGGACTACTAAAGGGTGTATCTTTATATACCTAAAAATATGATGATACCCGGTTCTTGCACCGAGCCCCTCAGTTGCGAACCCTCAATTGGAATGATGTTAAAGCCGATTATTTATTTACTCCTTGTTCTAACAGTTGATTGAGTCTGAATTCTAATAAATAATACATGAACAATCATGGAACAGTAAACTTGAATTCAACATTAAATAATTATAAAAACTTTTTAAGGATGACGGATATAAAATTTTTAAGGTAATGATGTGTTTTTATTTATTTATTTATTGCTTGGATTTAAGGGTTTGTAGGATGTCCCTGTTTTTTCAGAGTTGGTTACTGTTGTTGCTTTCTCTAATAAATTGCATTATTATTTGTTATATATTTTAAGTGTGTTATACGTTTACCTTACTCCCATAATCCCTTATTTTGAAAGGTTTTAAGAGAGATAATTATAAAAATAAACGGTAGCCTTCTAGGTCTTGGACCTGAGTCAAAAGTGATTTATTGTCTTTTATTTACTGTATTTATTATTTCCCTTTTAATACTTTTCCCATGAATACAACACCTCAAAAGTACCTTGGGTTACTAAATTAATGAGCTTTATTACCGTAAGTATTTATTTTATTTATTTGTCGTAATTTAATATGGCATTTTCATTTATATTTCATTGCATTACTGTGTAACTTTTACAAATTCTTTGGGTTTGTACCCTTACAGGTAGATTTTGTTTACTTACCAGCACTATCACAACTGCTAGACCTCCTCGACGACGATCTCCTATGAGAGCCGAACCGATGCACTCTTAGGTGCGTCTCCCTCCTGCACAAGCTCGTGGCCGTGTTATCCTTACCGTTGGCGGAATAGTGCACGGCGTAGCTGGGATGTCCGGTGGGCGAGGTGGGCGTGACGGCCAGCAGATGCGGGACGGTGTGCGGCGACAAATTCTCGTTCGACGGATAGCTGACGCTGATTTTGACGCGCTCGTGTCGCCCCCGGTTCGACGGGCTGGGGGACGCGCTGCCCGTTGTGGTGGTAGTACTGTTACTGCCGTTGCTGTGCGGAGAGCCGTACTGGCGTTTGCCGGAAGAACCGCGTCCGCGGTGGATCCGGAGGGTGAGCCGCTGCTCATCGAACCTGTTGCCCAAACCTCTTGAGCCTTAAACAATAGGAATAAACAAAAATGTATAAAAACAAAAACAAGTTTCTTATATGCAAAAATGACTGTCAAAAAATAGAGCCTATTTCAAATTGGATTATTTTTTGCCGCAACAATAAACATAAATTTAAAAAAAAAAACTCAAATTATTCTCCCAGCAATAATGTAAGTAGATTATTAGAGTTTTAACGATGTAAGTTTAATATAATACCGCTACGTCATCAGCCATGCACAGCCCACGATGTCAAGCGATGACGTTGCGGTATCAAACTTACAGCGTTTGAACTTTATGCACAGGATTGGAATTAAAAGTTTTTATGAATGTCAAAATTTTCAGTTGAAAAATTGTATATTATCAGTTATTAACATTCAAACAAAACAAGATTTTTTGGAACAAATTAATATTTAAATAACTAACAATCCTTTTACAGAAAAAAATTTATAAAAAATAAAATTATTTACAAAAAAGGTACATCCTACAATATTTTGTGATGTGATAAGTCCGATATTTTCTCCAAAATAGTTATTTATGTCATTAGGTGAGGCTTTTTGTGCTAAGCTCAAGCTACAATTGAGCGAAGCACAAAAAGGCACTTCTTGGCCGAATGGCATACAACATTTTATCTTCAAAGCACTTTATATAGGTCAATTTAATTCAACATCAAAGCGGCCTAACCTCACTTTTTTAGAATCTCATTTATTTATTAGCTAAAGATTACATTAAATGTACAATAATTATTATTGCTTTTAGAAGCAGTAATAGTTTGACAAAACCTAGCTACATGATTTAAGTAGAAATGGATTTTTGCTATTACATTGAATTCAATTAATTGTTTAATAAATAGGTAGGTATCTAATTTCAATTTGTTTGGATTTTTATTTAAAAAATAGGTAGTTTGGAATGTTTAAGCTGTGTTTAACATTTAATTTCACTGAAAACTTAAGGCAAATTAAAACTTAAAAATAATTTAAATCGTAGAAAAAGTATCGTGCGTTTTCTTGGTTGCCTAACCTCACTTTTTGTTTTATTATTCATATTTAATTTTACAATAATGAAAAATATTAAACATTAACAGTAAAACAAACAAATTAGTGCTTATTATAAATAAATTAAACCAGTTTAGTACGTTAATTTCTAAAAAAAGGATTAATTTGTCAAAACAATAAGTAACTAATTACTTGCCTCATAAAAATTTTTATCGGCCTAGGCCATAACAAGGTATTTATTTATCGAATGTTGACTACAATAAAGTTTAAATTATAGACCGCGAGGAGATAAAAACATTTTTCTTAAATATTACAATTCTACAGTTCCAAATGGACAATATATCAAAAAAGATTTTTTTCTACTCCCACCTTTAAAACGCCCATTATCGTACATGTTTCCATGACACTAAATAACCTTTAAAATACATATTGACAAGTTTTGGCTTTATGGCGCTTTAGTCACGGCCTAAAGTTAGCGACAGGTTTCAAGTCACAAACTAAACTTAAAGATTATATGAACATTTATACTGACCTTTTGACTTCGCCTTAGAAGTGTAATTAATTAGATTTAACTGATAAAGCGTTAAAAATTTTGCGTACGGTGCCCTTAAAACATCCTCTTCTCTTTTACTGTAAAAAACTGCTTCTTTATTGATTGTTAGTCTATGTTTAAGGGATACATTTTGATTTACACACAAAAATTTGAGATTTTAACGATTTTGTTTTCCATGTAGAAATTCTAACGAGAATTTCAATAAATACTCCTGTCACTTTTTGTACGTATATAACGCTTTTTAGAAATTATTTTTATTTACAGCTTTATCATGTACAGGGTGGTCCACGTAAGGTGACCCATATACTTATCTCAGAAACTACTGGAGTTACAAAAAATTTGTAAGGAACAAATATTAACGAAGTAAAAAGTATTTTTAAAATATTATATTTTCATTTATACAGGGTGTTCGGTTTTCCTTGGGACGATACCAACTTTCTTATTTTCAATGGAACACCCTGTATTTTTTTGCATTTTTGGATTCTTCCCACTCTCTTAGGTATACTTTGTAAATATATTAAATAAGAAAATGTTAATACTTTTTGAGTAAAATTAAGATTTATTAAAATTTCTCTAAATGTAGACACTCGCTAAAAGTTAAAAATAACCAACTAAAAATTATTATTTTTTATATTATGTAGTATCCATCTCTTTAATAATAAGTAAGATATAAGTTAATTATTATATTTTTTGGAAAATATCATACAGGGTGTTTTCTATGTCCCGTTGAAAATAGCGATTTTAAAAGTTTAAAATCTTGTTTTTCTTCAATGGAACACCCTATATATTTTTGCATAATTGGATAGAATTAGTAATTACCTTCCATTTTATATATATATGTCCTATACCTAAACCTAACAGAAAAAAAAATATTCGCATATTTCACAATTAGTAGCTTTTTTCCAATTACCTTAGTTAAATTTTCATTATTCAAAGAAACCACCCTGTATAATATTTTCCAAAAAAAAATTAATTAACTTATAATTTACTTATTATTAAAGAGATGAATGCTACATAATATAAAAAATAATAACTTTTAGTTGGTTATTTTTAACTTTTAGCGAATGTCTACATTTAGAGAAATTTTAATAAATCCTCATTTTACTCAAAAAGTATTAACATTTTCTTAATTAATATATTTACAAAGTATACCTAAAAGAGTGTGTAGAATCCAAAAATGCAAATATAGGGTGTTCCATTGAAAATAAGAAAGTTGGTATCGTCCCAAGGAAAACCGAACACCCTGTATAAATGAAAATATAATATTTTAAAAATATTTTTTACTTCGTGAATATTTGTTTCCTACAAATTTTTTTTGACTCCAGTAGTTTCTGAGATAAGTATATGGGTCACCTTACGTGGATCACCTAAAAAAAATATTCGCATTTTACAAAATTAGTAGCTTTGCGCGTATGGTAATTATTATAGTAATATATATTTATATATAAAAGCATTTTTATTTGTTGTTATTGAAATTTATTTATTTGATTAATGAAAATTTAACTAAGGTAATTGGAAAAAAGCTACTAATTGTGAAAAATGCGAATATTTTTTTTCTGTTAGGTTTAGGTATAGGACATATATATATAAAATGAAAGGTAATTACTAATTCTATCCAATTATGCAAAAATATATAGGGGGTTCCATTGAAGAAAAACAAGATTTTAAACTTTTAAAATCGCTATTTTCAACGGGACATAGAAAACACCCTGTATGATATTTTCCAAAAAATATAATAATTAACTTATAGCTTACTTATTATTAAAGAGATGGATACTACATAATATAAAAAATAATAACTTTTAGTTGATTATTTTTAACTATTAGCGAGTGTCTACATTTAGAGAAATTTTAATAAATCTTAATTTTACTCAAAAAGTATTAATATTTTCTTAATTAATATATTTACAAAGTATACCTAAAAGAGTGGGTAGAATCCAAAAATGCAAAAAAATACAGGGTGTTCCATTGAAAATAAGAAAGTTGGTATCGTCCCAAGGAAAACCGAACAACCTGTATAAATGAAAATATAATATTTTAAAAATATTTTTTATTTCGTGAATATTTGTTTCTTACAAATTTTTTGTGACTCCAGTAGTTTCTGAGATAAGTATATGGGTCACCTTACGTGGACCACCCTGTACATAATATTATATTATATCCCGGCGCATCCGCCATTTTTGCAACTAAAGAGCATAACTTGTCAGTGTCAGTCTTATTTTTATATTATATATTTTGTATATTTTGTGCTACTAAGAGCTTCTTAAAAGTATCGAAATTAGGGATTTTTTATTTCAAACTTTTGGCAACCCTTTTATATTTATGTCAACTATGTGTTGAAAACTCGCATTTCCGGTTTTGTTTATTAAAATTATATTATAAAATGTGAAAAGAATCATTAGAAGTAAATGTATACTCTGAAACTTTCTAACCTCACTTTATACAAAAAATAGGTGTTTTTGTATGTATGTTATAAAAATAAATTCTCTAGGACTTTTCTATATATATATATATTTTTTTAGGATTATTGCATTGTGGTTTTTGTTTTACAAATAATATATACTTAAAAAAACAGCATAAATAGTATATTTCATTTAATACTATTCAAATAAAACTGTTTTTTAACTGCTTTCTTAAGAGTAGGTAGTTTATAAATTACTACCTTTTCAAAAAAAATAAAAAAGTTTTTATGGTTTAATAAAGGTATATTTATATAAAAATACATTTATTTTCAACTTTAATTCTTAATAACATAAACAGAAACTTTTAAAACCGTATGTTTAAGGGCAAGTTATATGGGATTTCTGTAAAAGGTACACACCCTTAACATAAAATAAAACAGTTTATTTCGATGGAATTTCTAGGATACCATACTTGAATAATTCATGCGCATTTACATTTATAATAAAATAAGAATAAGGGTGGCATTACGTTTTTATTTTTGCTTGCAATAGATAACGTCGAGAAAAGAATATTAAAACGTTTGTTTTACTGCATTATATTACATTGAATTCATGGAATTTTACAATAACATTAATGTTTATGGTTTTATTTTGTTTTCCTTGTTTTGTTCATGAAGTTCTACATATTATGTGGGTGACCACGAAGTATTATTGGGACTAAAGGATGCAGCTTCAATTGGCATACTTATAGAAAAATTTTTAGCCCTTAGAATAAGGGGGTATATCTGTTGTCTTACATTTTGGTATCCACTCTATCTATTCCATATAACAAGCATTGAAATTGTACAATGCAAGCTTTTACATCTTGCTACTATCAACATTTGAATTTAAATCTCTAGGAATTAGAAGAGTTATTGCATTAATTTCAATCTTGTTTAGGTTGCTTAATTTTTAAATTAGTTGTGGTGATTTGCTTTTTAAGATTAATTTTTCGGTACAGGATTGACTAGAAGAAATTAAACTACTTTTCTTCCAAGCTTTAATAGAACTAATTTGGGACTTAAGTCGCCTTTATTTGTAATGTGTAGTAACTTTAATAAATTCTGTGAATATTGTGATATAAACTTTAATACACTTAGCTACATAATTACATATGTTAATAAGCATATTTAAATGTTGCACACATTATCTGTTGTTTAGGTTTTTTAATATTTTTTTATACCTACTTTGAAAACTATATACACTGCGCGTTAAAATTAACGCATAATAATAAGTAAAAAAAATCTCTAAAACACCTTTACCAATCTTTATGAAATTTTGTATAAGAATACTTCAAGAAAATATTTTTAAATCCCTTTTATTTAATATTAAAAAAAACGCTGGAAAAAAAACTTATAAAGGGATTTTTTTTAAGTAAAAAAAATATGCTATTAAAGACCGCATTTTTGTTAGTATACCCTGAAAATTTTGTACAAATCAAACCAACAGTAACGAAGATACACCGCTTCAAAATCGGTAAAAATGACCCCTTTTTTGATTATTTTGCTGAAAAGTGGTCATTTTTGACGATTTTGAAGCGCTGTATCTTCGTTACTGTTGGTTTGATTTGTACAAAATTTTCAGGGTATACTAACAAAAATACGGCCTTTAACAACATATTTTTTATTTACTTAAATATTTACTTAAAAATTCCCTATAAAAGTTTTTTTTCGAGCGTTTTTTTTTAATATTTAATAAAAGGGCTTTTAGGATATTTTTCGAAAAAACCCTTGAACACGTAAAGTGAGATATAAGTTAAAGTATTTTTATCCAAAATTTTATAAAGATTAGTAAAGGCGTTTTAAAGTTAGAATGTTTAGAATTAGAATTTTACTTATTATTCGTTAATTTTGACGGGCAGTGTAGTACACATATATTTTATTCAAATGTCCTGTTACAGTAATGGCATTGAGTAATGGTAATGGTTTAAACTGTTGGGTAATAAATAAATTATTATTATTATTAATTATTTAATTTAGATTATTCGTAAAAATGATAATTGTAAGCAAAAAGCAGATAATATCAAAACATTTTTTACATTTTTGATAATTTAAACTGTTATTAAAATAAAATAAATAATCATTTGTGATTTAACATTTTTATTAATTTTTTAAATAATTATTAAGAGCGTAAAATAAAAAAAATAACATTAAACAACATTAATTAACATTAAGTAATATCAATTATCATTAAATACAGAATAAATATTGAGGAGTAATTTAAAGAAAATTATTGGTAAAAACAATAAAAATTAATTTTGAAATAAATTGTTGACTCCAATATTAAAATTTCTTTATCCAAAGGGATCATGATAGAAGTAGAATCAACAATATTTGGTAAGTTATTGAATGTAATGAACAAAAAAACATTAATTTGTAAAAAGTGCAAAAACTTCATGTTAAATGAATGGGAGAATTATCGTCATTTAGGCAGGGTTAAGCGGCAGAAAGGTTTTTTTTGCAAAATTGTTTTTAGGCTATAAACTAACAATTATACAAAAAAAAGGATACCCAAGTAAAAAAAGACAACAACAAATAACGGATACCCTAATACTTATATATACACTCACAGGCAAAATAATCGATCCACACAAATTTTCGATGAATTTCAATCGCAAATAACTTTTTTATTTGATGTCAGATTTAAACGAATATTAAATAATATTGTAGATAAATTAATGGAGAATCGCTCACATTTTAAAAACATACTAAAAAACTGATGTACGTTTATAATATACAGGTTTAAACAAAAAGATGTTTTTTTACCATTAGTTTAAGACACTCTATAGAGTGGCAAAACCGTATATTGTTCTAATTAAGCCACATCTATTTTTAACAGTTTTGTTTTTGGTTCACCTTGATATATTTATTTATGTGGAAATAATATACAGGTTTAAACAAAAAGATGTTTTTTTACCATTAGTTTAAGACACTCTATAAAGTGGCAAAACCGTATATTGTTCTAATTATTAAGCCACATCTATTTTTAACAGTTTTGTTTTTGGTTCACCTTGATATATTTATTTATGTGGAAAATATGGATTTAAAAAAAAAAAACATTGCAATTTCCAATATTTTTTCTCTACGAAGAACTAAGGTTGTTATGGTCCATCCATAGGTTTAAAATGTGAGCGATACTCCAATAATTTATCTACAATATTTTTTAATATTCGTTTAAATCCGACATCAAATAAAAAAGTTATTTGCGATTGAAATTCATTGAAAATTTTTGTGGATCGATTATTTTGTCTGTGAGTGTATTTATATAAAAAAAGATTAGATATAGTTCATGTAGAGAATTTAAACGAGTTAATTAACTATTAAGTGATAAAACCAAGTACTACTTGGCAAGTAGTATCGAAGCTTAGAATAAACACACGCCACGGTAAGTAATTTACACTATGGCACAGATAAATAAAGCGGGCACATAGATTATATCCTTGGAAAGGACTAAATCCCCGACAATCCCAACCCCTATAATTTCGTGCTCGAATTATATTAAAGACCAACGTCTATTTAATATTGACACCGATCCTAAGCTCATTCTGATAGTGCAAAGATGTAATGTAACCTTGTTTTTTTGTTCTCTATCAAGGTTTAAGTATAAATACTGCCATCTTGATAAATACAATGGGTATCTAAATTTTTTACTGAAATTGTTTTTTATTTCGTTAAATTCGATGAGTATCAGCATTTAAAATTACCTTTGGTCGTCCTGAACCCTTGGTTAATGGCTCTGGTTGTCCTTACAGCTGCCCTGTAGATTCTCCAGTAGAAGAAAAGCATCACAAACATGGGAATATAAAAAGATCCTAAAGCCGAATAGACTACGTAACCGGCCTCATTTGTAAGCTCGCACTTCCAAGGACAATGTGGATGAGGATCCTCGATTATTATCCTTGTTGAGTTTGAATCCTCGTCGGGCTGAAATATTTTTAAAATTTGTTTTAATATCAAATAAACAAATAAATATTTTTAATTGAAAGCTTTAAAAGATATGTTTATGGAATTCGTTATAAATGCAGTGTTACTATAGTACGGAGAGAAATGTATAGTAAATTTTAGATAGTAAAAAAATATAGTAAAATTTACTTTAACAAATTTTTAGGGTAACAATATTATATATTCTTCAATACAATATTAAGATTGTAATACAAAGTACTATTTTGTATTATACAATTTTAGTAAAGATTACAATACCAATATTACTAAATCAAAATGTATAATATATATTTTAATTTTTAATATGTTCGTATAGTAAATTAATTTTACTATCTACAAATAGTAATATTTACTATATGATTTAATCAAGTGTAAGGTGTACATCTAATATTATAATATATTACACATTAATAAAAAATATAGTAAAAATAAAGATACTTTTATGTTTAAGGTAAATAAACAATATATTTAAATATAATATACAATATAGTAACTCATGACATTTTAAACATTCAATTTTCTTAGTTTCTTCAATAAACTTTCTTGACCCATTACTGGTAATACTTATAAGAAATAATTGAACCTACTTGGTTGCTTAGTATGTACCGATTGCGGCAAAGGCCACGTCGCGACGCGTCGTTAGACGGTGTGGATCACGTGATGTTCTTACATCTCGCCTCTGTTGGCTTACCAACCATGTTATATAAGCTCAGGTATTTCTTTGTTTTGGGTGTGTTCCACTACTACAAGTTGCTCGACAGTGTCGTGTCGACACTGATGATACGCAATATAGGTCAAAACACCTGTCTGTCGGTATTTGAAGTTGATGGAACGCACTCAAAACAAAAAACTTGTCGAGGTCTAGGTTCAATTCTTTCTCATAACATTTTTTATATTAAAAAGTACAATAAATATGTTACAATTTTTAATTGCTAACATATAACAATATTCGATTTTAAAATATTTTATATTTAAAATGGCAACATAATATTTTAAAATTTACTATACTTATTAGTAATGGAAAAATCTAATTATAATAAGAATTAAAAACAAAATTGGTTGAGAATAATAATATTTTATTTTAATAATATTTAACATAGATGGATAGATACAAGATAGTTGTCCTAAATAGTAATATAAATTATAGTTAAGGGTATTATAATTATGGTAATCAGCATTATACTTTTCTCTCCGTGTAATATAACTCACTAAAGAAAATTTATTGCTTCTATTCCCACCTTTAAAACGCCCATTATAGTACATGTTTCTATGACACTAAGTGACCTTTTAAATACACAGTGACAAGCTGTGGCTTGGGCATTTTAGTCACGGGCTGAAGTTGAATTTATTATTAATTAGGAAAAAGTAAGGTTAAATCTATTGACAATTGACAAATGTCAAATATTAAACAACTAAAATTTTCTTTAAATTCTTTTTTCTTATCGTCGTAGAAAAAGTAGAGTATACTCGTTTTATAAGCTTCTCTAGACACTCGTTTTTATTAAACACTCGCTCGAAAGCTTTGCTTGTGCCTAATAAAACTCATAAATAAAATAGCATTTATAAAACTTGATACATAATATACTAATTAAAAACCTGACTTATTATTACTTTACAATTTACCAAGAGACCAGACTTTATGTCTTAATTAAAAAGTGACGTTTTATTTTAAAACGTGGTAAAGAAAACACGTGATGGATTAAAAGATAATATAGTCTTGTTTGTCCAAACGCTATTTTTGACTTGAAGTATTTATAATGTGCTTGCTTGGGTATAAAGAAGGATTTTTTAAGTTTAAGTGAAAAATGAGAATTGATATTGCCATAAGATTATTAATTCGAAAGTGGTATACAATGAATGCTAAGCATTATTTAGCGAGACCCAGATTTGAGCATGGACACATTAAATAATTTATTGTTTGGGTCCATGACTTGGCATCGCTCATTGAATTAATGTATTCTTGGATGTATTTTGCTCTTCTAGTTGGGTTATTAAATATTTCCTTAGGCAAGACGACCGGCTCCATGCTAATTCACTTTGTGTTCGCCAGATCTTAGATGCTGAAACCTCAGGCGAACAAAACGTAAGGCAAATTTAAATTTTAAATTTAGACACAACATAAATAAAATAAAGACAAAATTAATTGTATATATAAAGATATGGCTGGTTTTGCAACGTAAAAAACCTGTATTTAGAATCCACATACAAACAATAATATTGCGGGAAAAAAATTAAATTAAATTTTACAACAACCATATTGTAAAAAAAAATGTTTAATTATTTAATACAATTGTTTTGAAATTAACTAAAACTTAAAGCATTTATATCAACGTATAATTTATTTAAAGTACACAATTTTGGAGCACGGCAAATCTGTATTATTTTTAATAAAGAATTGCATTAGTCAATACAATATTGTATTAAAATATATAACAATATTAATTTAAAACAGAAATTGTAGTAATTTAACTACAATATATTATTATATCTTCAATAAATTCTTGTTTATTTTTATTACAAAATTGTTAAATTATTTCTAACAAATTGTTCTTGGTCGTATTTTTTAAACAATTTCTACCAGAAAATTCTACAATTATAGTACTTTTCACAAAATTTTTTTTCCGTATGTGCATTGCAAAACTACCCCTTACTTAAAAATAAACTATTAATAGGCTCTTAAACTTGTTGATGGTTGTTGAAATAACCAAATTATAACTGTATTTTTTAACAACAATGTGCAATAACAATTTTTTGTTCAAAATTAAATTTTCTTTTAAAATATGTAAAAATATATAAGGTCTCCATTTAAAAAAAAAAAATAGAGAATATTTTGGTAACCCCACCTTTAATTAAGTCTTTGTGTTCCTACCATTTAAATTAAAAGAAAAAATGCAACAAATTTCTTATTATAACCGACTTTATAAATCCAATAATAACGGAGTTAGAGCACATAAAAACTAAGTTTTCGGCCACTCTTAAAATATTCGTTATTTTGTAAGGTATTATAAAAAAATATGTACAAATATAAAGTAAAACTCGTCAAATTTATAAAAAAGTCATATGAACTTGCCCCTTATTTAAATAAACATTTGTAGGTATATGGTTAATATCTTTAGTGTTTTTTCTATATACAGGGTGAGTCATTTAACTTAAAACTTTAAAATATCTCGGTTAGTATGCATTTTACGAAAAAATGTTTAAAATAAAAATTAAATAATTTGAAGGGCGAAATCAATCAGTACTAAAATTACTCTCCTCCTTATAGGAAAATTTTCAATGGTACACCCTATTTTTTTATTGCAGATTCATTTATAGATATATGTATATCCTAAATGTTTTTTTTGGCTTAAAATAATACCATTATAATCGATTTCGTTATGTTACAGAAGTTTAATAAAAATCAAGCAAAAAAACTTAAAAACCTGTAATATTTATGTAGGTAATTTTATAAGGCAACCAACACCAAGCATTTTATTTTACTCTTTTTCTTTAAAATGTTTTATTACCTACCTGTTTCAATTATTAAAGTAACCGATACCTCGGTTGAAATAAATAACAACCCGAAGGCAGATACTTGCCAAGCTTTTATTTTGTTTTGAATAAAATACAACTTCTGTGGGATTCGGATAAAATACAATTGAAGTTTTCTTTATTATTCTTAAATATTTATTTGGTATTTCCTTTAAAAATTTTATACCGTTCTTAAGTATTTGTTTTAAATTTTAACAAATTATTAATATTAAAATTATTTGTGTAAATAAAAATATTTTTTAGGTAAAGCTTAATACAGGATACAGGAATAATTATAAAAACCCCCATATTTACCATTACTTTCTCACTTTTGAAAATTTGAAAGACAATATTTTATTAGCTTTTCAACAATTTCTGGGCGTGAGGTTGCACTTAAAAATGACGTTAGTCATTCGACTGTTTTAAGATGTGTTAAAGCGTACAAGAATTGATTCACGGTGATTCTGATGTCCCCCGATATTTAATAAAACTAAATGAGTTAGACCTACATTTTTATTGTGTTTTGATATTTCATAATTAAGTAGATATTACAGCTCAGGTTCCAGGTTTTAACTGCAATCAATTATTTTTTAAAATGTTTTAAAAGTCCAAAACCTACCCTCCGTGACTGTTACTCTTTCTAGGTTAACCTGTTCGTTTTCAAATATCTGAGGTAGTAAAAGAATACTAAAAATATCAGTTCACTAAGTAAATTAAACACATCCAAAGCAATCTAAACAAATATAAAATATTATTAAAAATTAAAAGAAATAATTTTTATAACCATTGTTACAAAAATTGATTCTATCCTCGGTAAATCTGTTTTGCCTTAAATTTTATGCAACGGATGGCGCTTTAATCATTTTAAATAAGCAAAAACCTCTGTTAACAACATTATAGATGCATGTGATTCCTGAAGTACAGTTGAATTTATATGCAGATGAAAGTGTTTTATAATTCAAAAGTTTAAGTTTATTAATTTGCTATTTAAAAACCTATCCACCGTGAAGTGTAATATCTCAGTAAGTACACATTTATACATTTATTATAAATGGCGAGGTAAATAGGCAAAATAGCAGAAACTGAGCAGAAGAAAACCCTCACTGGATGTGTCAAAGTCATCCAACGTCCTTAGAAAATCAACGTTTGGGCTATTGTTGGTGATAATGTGGTGGGACCTATTTTCTTTGAAAATCTAAACAGGGAAATATATCTGGAAATTATAAATGACACCTTTCAACACAGGTGGATCGGAAGAGGAGGTTTTATAAAGTGGCCAGCTAGATCACCAGATCTAACACCTTTAGACTTTTTTCTAAACAGGATGTTTAAAACACAACCTGCCAATTTACATGAATTGAGAAACAGAATAACTGCAAAAATTAGGAACATAACACCGGAGGTTTTAAACAATTTTTAATTAACTTTAAAATAAATACTTTAATTTTTATTCTGTCATTATATAAACTTTGTTTACTAAACCCTACTTATAGGGTATCGTCGTACTAAATGTTCACTAATACTTCACTTTACCAAAATGTTTTAACACCCACTTGTTTCGAATGCGTACTCGATACCTTCCTTTAAATAAATAACAAACCTCATGGCAGTTACTTAAAAAGCCTTTATTCTTTTTCAAATAAAACACACAATTTATTCGTGCCGGAATAAAAGAGGTAGAAGGAGGTGGAAAGTCCCATTGAGCGCATTATTCTTAATAGCCATACTTTGTAACTTTATTTTCGGCATTTGTTACCAACTTGACGGATTCGAACACAGAAACGCGTATAGTTTTATTCGGTTAGCAGCATCCGCAGGCGGTTTTGTTTAATCACAATGAAGGCTGCTCTAAAGAAGCCAAACGAAAACTTTTGTTGCGCGCCGGCTCGGAAAATCTCTTGGCAAACCATAGTATAGATTTTGAAAATAGTCTTAAAACATAATACCCGTGTCTCGGCGTTTTTTCATATCAAAATTGACCGGAAGTGACATCAACTTTGTTATTTCATATATTTTTACATTTTTAAATTCTACCATGTATACTATACCTAAAGTTTACAAGTTAAATTTAAAATTTTTTCTTTAATATTTGTCAAATGCGCGTCAATTAAAAATAGCCTATAACTTTTTTGCTATTAGGTTTGCGGGAAAGTGGGTGAAATTTTTGGAATCTTAAAACATTGTTTAAAAGATTTCATGTCAATTCTTTAAAAATTTTCAAAAAATTACCCAAGAAAACTCGGGGCTAACTTGAAACGTTAATAACTTTTTATTTTAATTCGATTCGATTAATTAGATTAATGTAACTATTTTCTATACCCAATGCTAATAATGTCAGAGATATTTAACAATTTTTAAAATGTTACATATTATTTTGTATCAAGAAACCACAGGTGAGTCCAATTTGCCCTGGGTTTTTTGGTTAATTTGTTAAAAAATGTACTAACATGGAATTTTTTAAACAATGTTTTAAGATTCCTATTTGAAATAATGTCATTTCCTGTCAAACCGGAAGTTGCATTTTAGAAAAATAGACATAGCGAATTGATTTTGACATTAACTGTCAAACCAATTACTGTGATACCAACTATCTAAAGTAAAATTTCACCAAATTAAATATAAGGTATAAAATTAATTTTTTTATATAATTTTTGCAAAATAGATAAAATAGCATTTTGTTTAAAATATTTTAGAAAAATAGACTTAAATGATTATAAACGCTTTTAAAATTTCAAATCGATAA